TTTTTCCATACACACACATGTGCATGCTCTTATTATCTGTTACATGGTGAATGCATAGTCCTAATTCATTGATGGCGATTCAAGCTCAACATCCTAGTTTCTTCTTCCTCAACAGGTAATAATCTTGTGTGTGTGAGTGTATGTGTTTATATATATATATAAAAAAAATATAATGGTGATGTTTCGATTTCTTATAATGGAGAAATTATTTGAAGCAGTAACGGACAAGAAACGATTAATGATTGGTCGTTGCAACCTCAAGACACTCATTTCACTTTCATCAAAGCTGGTCTCTTTTTATTAATTCCCAAATCTTTATAACCATATTTTTTTCGAATCGTTGATCATCCCTGTTTTTGAAAACAGAGGTTGTTGGTTCGAGAAAGCGATCAAGAGAAGTTTCGTCGGTGGATTTTATTGAATTCTCGGCGGCTCCGATGAACCCTCCACCGCAAAAACCGCCGCAAGTTATCTCTACTGTGGTTTCTACTCATGAACAGTCACAGAATCGAGAGAAGCTGCTTTCGACTTTTTATATGCTTCCCGGAGATCTCGCCGGAGAAATCAAACGGCAAAGAGATGACTTAGACAGACTCCTACAAACCCAGGTGGCTTTCCCGTAAAAAAATTCAGTTTTAATATTTTTGGTTATGTGTGTTGATATTTGATATTTTACAGGGTGAGGAACTCCGGCGCATGTTAGCGGGGAATAGAGAGAGTCGCTATGTCGAGCTATTGTGCGCCACGGAGGACTTGGTTGGACGGAGGATGAGAGAAAAGGAAGCAGAGTTGGAGAAAGCCATGCGCCGTCACGCTGAGCTAGAGGCACGTGCCGCTCAGCTCGCTAGTGAGGCGCAAACTTGGCAGGTGAGAGCAACAACGTTGGAAGCCGAAGTGTCGTCGTTACAGACTCATATCCATCAAGCCGTAACAAGCCGAGCTACCTTGGCGAAACGTCATATGATCGGATGCAGCAACATCAACGGTAATGAAGACGAAGCTGAGGACACAGAATCCATCTATGTGGATCCAAAACGAATCGAGTTGATCGGACCTAGTTGTAGGATTTGCTGTCGGAAATCGGCGACTGTGATGGCATTGCCGTGTCGACATTTGGTTGTATGTAAAGGATGCAACAACACAATGCGTGTTTGTCCGATTTGCCTCAATGAAAAAAATTCTAGTGTTGAAATTTTCTTTTCTTGATGAGTGTATATTTTGTTATCGTCCGTCACAAAAACAACAGCGGACGATAAATTGTGAGTTACATGTTTAATTATATTTTTCGACGAACAAATTATGGTTGCTTAGTCTTTGTTGGTTCGGCGACATATTTCCACGACAAAATACTAATCCGGAATTTAGAACATTGAAATTTTCAACGTTTGAAAATTTTGATTGCTATTAAAACTTGTCACTACAATATATCGTTGAACAAGAGCAACTAGAAAACGATCATAGTTCTTTATCTATTGTTGGCAATAACGAAACGAACAATTCGTTAATATCGATTATCAGTATTATCTATTGATGGTAGCACAAATAAAACCATTCGTTGAGCCGAACCATCTCTAGTAACAAACAAGACAACAGTACAGAAAATGACATTGTCTAGACTGGAAAAATAAGTAGAGATTCGAAATTTAAATATGTAGTTGATGTACATATAACATAACCACATGTAGTGACATTTTTCGCTTTGACATCTTCTTTTACTTTGTTTCTTTAAAGATTTTCTTTTCTTTGACATTATTAGAAAAAATCATGTGAGGTCATTTATTTTAGAAGTTTAATTTTTAGATTTTGAAGGTATGCACAAACTTTTTGTTTGTATAAGTCAAATTGCGAGGATATGCTACTTTGGTCATTTTCATGAGATATTATCTTATTGAACAAAATAAAAATGCACAAAAATTATAAGAAACTCGTAGCTTCACGACTTAACATAGTGGCATCATCATCAAACCCATTTATTATACACTTTGCTTTTGGCGTTTGTAATTATAAAGTTAACACTTTTTTTGTTAAGAATATAAAGTTAACACTTCCATTACCATTAACATCTTTTCAAAAAAAAAAAAGATATAGTACTACTATGAAAAATATGGAATCGACGATCCTCCCTTGAAATCTAAGTTTAGTGAGACAACTTTCCTTATGAGTTGCATCAATAGACTTGTCACTTCCACGTGACAATAATGCGATCCAACTATTCATGTGTCCCTCAATAAACGATATGATCCTGCATTTGGATCCATGTACTTAATTATTCATCTACTTTTTTCAATTATACGCTTATCAAAACCGAAAGAAATAAAGTGCTCACTTTTATGATCACGTTCACTTTGATTGGCATCAGTGTAATTGATGAATTAATCATATAATTACAAATTATATAGCTATTGTGCTATGTCATGGTTTTAATGACAACAAATCCTCACTTAACATTTTGTTTTCCGACTACATTTTCATTGATTTTAAATCGAGTTTACAAAATCAATATACAAAAACTATGGAAAACAAACTATTATCTAAGCAGATATATATGCCATATAGTCAAAATTATACATAAAAAAAAAGGTGAATTTGATGGTGGTTTATGTTTGACATTTATGCCTGACAATTCTGTAACAATAAAAGAACGTTCTTTAGATGAATTTATCAGTCACGCAATATGTTTCCGATCATATTGCATATGATCCATAATGGGCCTGATGATTTCAAGCCTAGGCCCAGTAATGACGTATAATAAATACTCAGTGTGCAGAAGCAGTGTATGTAGCAGGGTTGGGCACAAA